ATGCAGGATAGGTTAAACTGTTCTAGAATTCAGGTTAGGCAGCTCACCCCACAGAAAAAAACAACGCCTGGGAGATCAATATTAGGGAGAAAGAAAATAGACTTTATTGAGGATGCTGGTAACATTTCAGCATCTGAAATACAACTTCCCTGGTCTCTGAGGGTGTAGGGGTGAGGATGAGATGCGGGCTACCTGCTGAAGTGGGTGTTTCCCAGGCACTAAGTCAGCATGGCACTCACTGGGCATGGGAAACATCTTGTGATGATAGCACTCTTTTATCTTGATGGTAAGACATTTCCATTTTGGATCAATTCCTATGGTCAGCAGCAGGTAGCTGGAATCAGCTCAGAAAAGTAAACAAGTTCACAGGAATGCAAGGTAAGGGCTGTAGTCTGAAAATGAGCAAGAGAGCTAGCATAGAGCAAGACCTTTAACCGGAGAATAATTGTTGCCTGTTAGGCAGCTTCAGTCAGAGGTGTCATCTGTAGGAAAACTAGTGGGAGACTAACAATATGTTGTTCAGCTGCTTGACCTCTGTAAGCAGTGATTTTTAAAGTTAATTAAAGGCAAGGGAAGCTAGAGGATTTGTTTAGGTTTTCCCTCAATTACAAAACAATATTGCATTTAAGCAAGAGAATACTATTTAGTCATTAAGAATCATAATGTTGGAGATTATACGGTGACATATAAAAATGTTCATGATCTAATTTTAAGCAGAGAAGGCACTATACAACACAGTATGTAATATAATCCCAATTTTCTAAGAAAAAATAGCAAAGGGTGTGTGCAAAACAGAAAGGAGTGATCCTTTTGAAAGTAAGTTTAAATGAGAAACTTGAGACTCTAATACCTCCCATCAGAGACATATAATTGCACAAGTGATTTGCGTGGGAAGAAGGAAGAGATCCCCAGAAAGCAATTTGGGAGAAAAAAGAACTAGGGCTAGAAACAATATATTTATGTCAGTCTAGAGCTCAGACCCTGGGCAAGGCAGAGCTTTCTTACAGAAGGTTCAGGGTATCCCAAGGGGACAGAGGATGCTCTGTAGACAGCCGAAGGGCACTCTGTAGAAAAACACCTCCAAGCCAGTGCAATAGGGATGGAAAACCTGGGTTGACCACTCTTGCCTGCAGCTGCAGGCCCCAATAACTAGAATGTCTGAGTTGGTGTATGAATGTCAGGAAAAAAAAAAAGGCAAAACTAGTAGTTTTTATTTTTAAACCATCCCTGAATTCTTTCTGTTGCTTGTGCCTACACCCTTCCTGCCCACCTACTACCCTCACGCTCCAGATTCTCACCTGCATCCCACTGCACATGTGAATAGAAACCCTGGCTTTTGAGAGTGTCTGTCACCTGGGCACAAGAAGAAATGTGGGGTGCCCCGGGCCTGATTTGGGTGGTTCATATCCACCCAGAATTCTGCTCATAGTGAGCAAACTCTGGCTGGCTGGGTCTCCAAGCTCTTCATGCCTTTTCGCACTAACAAAAATCACCTTACTTTGTTGACTTTGCCATTGCCATCCCAAGGGGAGAATAACATCACATATAATCTCTGCGATGACCCGATTCACTCCATGGCAAGGTCCCAGTATACCTGTTTGCCCTGCACAAGACTGCCCCTTGTAGCATTTTACATAGGCATTTGATTTAATCCCCTAAATCAACACTGGGTTTGTTTTCTTGTAAAAGAGAAGAGAATGAGGCTTATCAGTTTACTTTGTGGGTGCCCCGGAGGATTAGTGTGGGGGAAAGGTATCAAGGGTACTTCTGGGGATCGGAGATGCTGTCTGTGTCTTAGCCAGGATGCTGGTGTCACAGATTTTACTTTGGGAAAATTTGTCAAGCTTTTCCTAGGATTTATACTTTCTTACCACACTGTTCCCTGCTTGGATCCCATCTACCACACACCCCTCATGCCTGGGAAGCCTCTCATGACCCCCTTGCCTCCACCAACTGAGGTGAGGTTTCCCTATTTTGGAGTTTCACTGAGCCTGCCAGCCCTGAGCCCCGTGAGACTACCTGGCAGTATTGTGACCATTGGTTGTCTGTGCCTATGTGTAGTCACTCCAAGCAGCAGGTCGTGCTGTGTCCGCCAGAGTCACTGCCCAGTGTCTGAGCCCAGCACAAAGCCTGACACCAGGATATTGTTTGTAAAGGAACAATGGAGGGAAAGAGAGGGAGGCAGGTAAATAGAGTGGGGGGTTCTGGGAGAAGAAGAGGAGCAGGAGAAGCTGTGCCTCTGAAGCTCTGGGTATTCTGAGGCCCAGTTAGAGGTAGGGGCAGGGAGGACCCAGGGCTGCATTTCCTTGAGTGAGTAGAGTCTCCTGAGAAAGAAGTCTTTCCACCAGAAGGTAGATTGTTTCAGGGACTATAGCCTACATTCCTGGGGGACAGGGGAACTCTGAATCTAGTCTGTCTCCAATTCTCTTCTAGCTCAGAGAAGGGTACAAGGAAGAGTTTTTTCTCTGTCATTTCCATAGGACACAGAGGCTGAGATGTTAGCTGCATGGGTGCAGGAGCCACTGGAAGGGGTTGCCTGGCTCTGCAGAGAAAGGGTGGGTATGGCAGGGCACTGAGATGATGACAGTGTTCTTCTCCAGGATCAACACTTAGGGAGCAATCCTGCTTGGGTGGCCATACCCTATCTGTGCATTGGCTGGATGTAGGAAGTGATGATGGAGGCTTCTGGTGTAGGGAAGGAGACTGAGTCTCTGTGAGAAGGAGTAGTCATGGTGGGTCCAGTGTGGGAACAAAAGGGTTACATCTCAGAGCAGATCATAAAGAGAGGGGCATGCTGTTGTTCCTTCAAAGCAGAAGTCCAGCTAAGAATTTACTGTTAGGTATCACCGGGTTTATAGCCCCAGGCTGGCATCTTCTGAAAAACACAAGTCACTGATAGTTTTAAAGACCACATATGAATGGGGAGGACATAAAATAGCCAAAGAAGCCAAAAAAGCAAATAGCCTCTTGGACTTGCAAACAGATCTTCCTTGTAATGCACTCACTTGGGCCATTCTTTGTCTTTTGTTTTTGTTTTTGTTTTGTTTTCCGGTACTGGGAATTGAACTCATGACCTCAGGCTTGCCAGGCAGGCACTGTGCCGCTGAGCTAAATCCCCAGCCCCTAGGCCATTCTTATAGTGCAATTATTCCCAAAGTGACCTGCCTCTGGCATCAAACACTCCATTAAGAGACATTTATTTCCCTTTGAACTCAATACTCCCCAAGACTACTCTAGCGACTATGGCTCTTGCTCTTGGGGAAAAATAATTTGTTATATGACAGAAGACAAAACCATCATCAGTAATCCAGAAAACTTTCAGTTATTTCCCTTGAGGTACCATCATAATATAGACCCATGTGGAAGCGGCTTTATAAAGCACTTTCTCACCATTTTTCTTGAAATAATGACTTTCAAACATTTGTGATTGCATACCCTTTTAGTAAAATTATTTTGCAAATGCACCACAAATACATACATTTTCATTAACCACATTTATATAATAGTGTGTGCACTATTAAGTGTATTTATAGTGAAAGTTCTAACAGTGTGGTCCCAGGTGTCCCACTAAACGAATATCATGCAGAGTTGGGCAAGCATTATAAGCCTCTCTTTATAGATTAGTAAACTGACACTCAGAGAAAGGACTTGCTCAGATGATAAAGCCAGAACTTGCAGAACCAGAATTAAGACCACTTCCAATCAATCAAACAAGTGCCTCCCACCCGCATCCACTATGTTTTCTCCCAGGGTGATTTGAGCCACTTCTTATGGTTGCTTGGATTCTTCTTTCCATGTTCCAATTCCCATTTCTTCTCACCCATCACAGTTTGGATTTGGACCATAAAAGAGTTTATGATGATTTCCCCATTTTTCCCCCTTTATTGGTGTTATGGTTTGTGTCTGTGTGTCCCCCCAAAGCCTCATGCGGTCATGGGGCAGGCTTTTAGAGTTTGATTGATTATGAGTGTGAGAGCTACACCTGCCCTGTGGTGGATAGTTTACATATGTAAGGGAGAGGAAGAGGCTTGCTTGCCACCATTCCTGGCTTTTGTGCTTGTTGCTTTTGCTATGTTCTGCTGCCATAAGCTGTAGCCCTCTGCCATGCGCCACTCTGCCTTGTAACCTGCCAAGTATGGACTGAAAGCTCCACAAACTGTAAGCGAAATAAACCTTTCCTTCCTTAATTTTGGGCATCAGGTATTTTGTCCCAGCAATGAGAGAAAAGTAACCAAGACAATTGGTTGCACTGTTATCTCCTATAACAGAGGGAAAATGACATTATTACGGTTCTAGAATCAGCAAACATGGGCTTTGCCTGCCTCATCTGATTTTTTTCCCCAACCCAATAAGCAGGAATGATACAGAGACCATTCCCAGGTCTCACCATGCCCAACGTTAATCTGTTCTGAAATTTACTTGTAAAAAGAAGACTCTAATTCCAAACTAGAAAAAGCATGGGATAGAATTTGCCTTGAGTGACCACTTTTGATGGAGAAGATATGGCAGTGTGCTTACAGAGAAGAACGATGCATGAAGGAAGATTTCTTCTCTAAATATTCTCTTAGCACTTCCTCTGTGCATCTAGAAAGGTTTTGTAAAAACATAAATTCCCTGAAGCAGAATAAAGATGAAGGACTTATTCCAAAACAATGAAAACTGCAACCAAGGCAGCTAAGCAGTCAATAGCTACGGGTGTCCAGGAGAGAAGTGGAGTGAGGCAGGGATCATGTTGGGATGGAGGATCTGGGAGATCTTACTGTTAAAAGCCAGGGTCTTTTCATATTCTTATATCTCATATTCTCTCCCTTTCCCTCCTCCCTACCTCTCCTGCCAAGGCCAAACACTGAAGTCACTGTTTAACTAAGGTGGAGTCCTAGCACCTGGTGTGCCCATATAAGGAAGAGCCTGAGGGGTAGAAGTCAGTAGCTTCTGGCACTGCATTTGTCTTACAGTCTCTCCAAAGAGACTGTGCTGTCCTCCACCATCCCCTCTGCTGCTTTCCATCCTACAGATTCTTGGTGCTGAACCTGTGGGACCAGCCCAGTCCTCCCTCAGCCTCCTACAAGAACACTGCTGAGCACTGCTCCATCATAAGTACCTGAGCAGGACACAGGTAAGGTGTGAGTGGAGGTCTCTCTGGGCGCTGAAGTGAGACAGTCCTCCAGATGTGAGTGACCTTCCAAATTTTCCAGGGAGCTGCTTCTTGATGCAGATTTTGAATTCCCACCCCCAGAGGTCTGATTTGGTAGCTCTGTAAACTGGCTATTTCTGATTCAAATGGTCCAAGGAGATGCTTTAAGAAGAACAAGGGCAAAAGATAAGTTTGACTTTCTAAGAGAAGCCTATCCAAATTTTGTCCAGTTCATGCAAATAGAGGATTTCTCAATTACTGAGTCACCTTTGCTTTCTGCTCAAAGTCAAGCCCTTGAGAGCATCTTTGTCCATGAGGGATTCCCTGATGGCAGGAGTCGTGTCTCCTGTGTTCACTGATGTCAAGTCGGGTGCATAGTAGGTATTCCTAAAATATTGCTAAAAGGAAGACATGAACCCAGGCCCTCTGTTTTCTAATGATCTAGTGTACTGATTACATACATGAATGAAGATGAAAAATCTGCACTAATTACTAAAGGCAGATCACTATCACTTCTGAATCTCAAATGGTTCCCACATCTTTATAGCTGTACCACTATCACATACTGTATGAGGCTCTGCACCTGCTGAAGCTGTGTCATCTTTGAGGTGCAGTGCTATTCTCAGGGAGGCAATTTAGCCATTTAGTTTGAAGCCAAGCTAACCAGGTTAGAGCAAGTGCAGATGTCTTCCCTCTGTGGTTATAATGGAGTCACTGTCCTGACTCACAAGCAGAATTTGGCTTATGCCCAAGAGGAGCTAACTGGGTCTTCCATCAGCATTCCTTTTTGAGTGCCCCACCTTGTACTCAGCTTGACCCTCTTGCTTGTGGAGGGAGGGAGAGTGCATGAGAGCTGAAAGAAGTCCATTGATCAGTACTTCGGCTGATGAGAATATAATGACCTACAAATTGCATAATAGTTAGCAGTGATATGCAGCACAACCTTATTATTCCTAATTTGTACATGGAAAAAGTGACTTGCTGTTAAGCTCATACCAGACACAAATGTGACTGAGCTAGAGTTCTATGTGCCTCATTTTGCCCCACCCCTACTTGGTTATATTTGGTGATCACTTGGGAGAACATCTCAGAAGAGAAATTGTTATCAGGAAATACACAAATTAATGACCTGCATACTGGCATTGAGGGTGTACTCTGTTTGTTCTTGATACCGCCCTATGAGTTAGCTGTGTGACTTTGAGCATCGTATTTTACCTCACTGGGTCCCCATTTCCTCATCACTAAAATGTGGTAGCCATAGCCTCATAAGATTGCAAGGGCTAAATGATGTAGTATGTAAAGTATTCAGTAGTGGCTAGCACATGGTAAGAGCTCAAGAAATTTTAGTCATTACTATTGTTATTACTTTGGACTGGGTTCTCTATAAAAGACAACCTGAGGCCAAGTGGAAGTGCTACTGTACAGATTTATTGGGAGATACAATCACAGAGCAGGGAGAGTGAGGGAAATGGGAAATAAGCAGAGGAAGATGGGAAGCAACACAGGTCACCCAGGTGGCCTCCCTTCCCAGAGACATAGATGGCCACTTGGCCAAAGCAGCATGTCTCTGGACTAGCTCTACAGAAGCACTGAGTCTTAGCATGGCCCATCTGGGAGAGCAGACAAGCAGTGTTCATGCCGGTTTCTTCTGTCCTCTCTCTCCTTATTCCACATTGGTGAGTCTGTGCCATTTGGCCCCCTTGACAGCCGCTGGGAAACCCAGACCCTGTTCCCTGAGGCATAGCACCTTATCTGAGACCAGGAATAGTTGTCAGAGCCACTTTCCTGGCTTGGGGAGAAAGAATACCGAGAGTCTAAAAGGGGCTAAAAGAACCCAAGACAGTACAGAAGATACATTCAGTAAAGTTAGAGTTATCATTATCAGCGTTTTCTGGACACTATGCAAAGAACTAGTGTTCCATGGTGGCACCTCTTTCTCCCATGAGAAAACCACAAAGTGCCCTCAAGTAGGATGCTCCAGCCTGTCATTCCTCAGGCTGGGAGGAAGTCTGAACGCGTCCTAAGGCCCTCAAACTTTGTGCGGTGTGGCACATGCTACTCTCAGTACAAAAGCCCAAGGCTGTGCAGAATCCAGGGAAAATGTTAGTCCCAACAACCCTTGGGACTCTGCCTCTTAAACAATGTTTCCTAAAGAATCACGCATAGAATGAGAATTCCGGAGGCTGTTGCTGAGAACTCTGGGATATAAGTGTTCTATAGTGAATGTTTGGACTAATATTGCCTCCTACTCTCCTTCTCAGTGGTGATGATTCAGATTTGCATATAAAGGCTCTTAGAAAACCAAAGCAAAGACATTGGGCCAACTGAGTGCATGCGCCACCCCCTACACTGACACAGTAGGAAGCACTGCCTTGTTCTGAGAAGGTTCAATCTCTCTTCGGTCTTGATTCCCGAATTCTCCAGGGACTCTATTATGGAGTTCTTTTTCACTTTGCATAAATATTTTTTGAATAAAAAATTCTGCACTATAATGAGCAGTTGTTGAGTACACAGGAAGTTCACCATCTCCAGAGCTGATTCTCCCAAGAAACAACCAGGAAAGCTCAGCCAAGCACATTCTTACTGTCTTAGTAAGGAAGACAACAGAACATGGGATCCCTGAGGGGGTCCTCATTGGTGCTCATGTTGAGAGGCAGCGAGGGTCACTTATCCAGACTGCATTGCCACAGACACAGTCTTTTTGCTTTCATTTGTTTAAAGCCGTTTATGAGTTGGATTTGACAAACAAATCCAATTGGTTTCTTTTTTGGTACTGGGAATTGAACTTACAACCTCGTGCTTACCAGGCAGGCGCTGTGCCACTGAGCTATATCACCAGCCTGAAGAACCAATTTGGAAGGAGATGATACAGGGGTGTGAAGTGAAGTTTTGCACCATTGCCACCTCTCTGGTGGAGTTGTTTGTGAGAGGAAAGGAATACAGTATAAATAACATAACAGGATAGAGTATATATCCTACTGACGCACACGTGTGGATTACATATGTCCCACTAGATATGTCCTAATATACAGTCAGCCCCCACATCTGTGAGTTCTTTTTTTTGTTTGTTTGTTTGTTTTTCCGGTACCAGGAATTGAACTCACGACCTTGTGCTTGCCAGGCAGGCGCTGTGCCGCTGAGCTAAATCCCCAGCCCACATCTGTAAGCTCTGCATGCTCAGATTCAGCCAATCATGGATCAAAAATATCAGAAAAAAGTTTCTGTACTGAACACAAACAAAATTTTTGTTGCTGTTTTTCCCCAAACATTCTAGCATAACAATTATTTGTACTTTATTTACATTGTGTTAGACATTATAAGTCATCTAGAGGTAATTTAAAATACACAGGAGGATATGCATAAATTATTAATAAATATATCAATATGTATATTGATTTTGCCATTATATTTTGTAACATACATTTGTCCTTCCATACCTACATTATCCTGTGAGATGTGACTGAAATACATGGTAAATATTTAAATTTTTAAAAAATTTATTACCTAAAAGATATATTGCCATTAATCCCCCTCGAAATACCCTCTCACTTCAAACACACTTATCCCATCATTCTTGCCTCTTTCAGAAGCAGTTCTAGAAGTCCTTTTTCATGAGTGTCTTCACAAGGCCTGACCAGTGATTTGGTGAATGCTGCTGTTTAGTGCCACCCAACAGGATGACCTTGTGAAAACACCACAGTGTGTCCTCATTTGCTGGATCTGGCACAATGTGGCTTCTGGCTCTTAAAATCAAAATGACCACTAAAGGCAAATGTTTTGCATTGATTCAGAACATAGAGGCAGCTGTGACAGCACAGCTAAAGATACTCATGAGAAAAGGACTTCCAGTACTACTTCAGAAAATGATGAGAACGATGAGATAAGTGTTCACAGACAAGGGGAGTACTGGGGGTATTAATGGCAATGTGTTTTTTACTGTAATACATTATTTAAAATGTAAACATTTACCATTTTTTTCAGTCATACCTGGTATAGGAGGGGCTTGAACATGCCTGCCTTTGGGTATCCATGGAGGACTGGGAGCCCTCCGGACCCCCATGGATACTGAGGGATGCTGTGTCCTGATGTAGTGGTCTGGGTGATGGGCTGCCTTTAAGTCCTTTTGCTGGGAGAAAGCAGGGCTTTGGGGTTAACATCTTTACTCCACCAAACAAGCCCCAATGCACCTTTGCTTTCCCTCTTTCCTTTCGGTAGCACTCTGTGCTCTGACCACACTGGTTCAATTTTGCCACACCCACCTCCCAGGCCTGAGGATGGGGCCCAACCAGGGTGTCCCACCCTGCAGGGAGAACCAGCCATACCCTTTCACACCTGTGGACCAGAGGCACTGTTCTGAAGACTCCAGCGTCCTCATCTGGATCCAATGGGCTCTCAGGGCCTGAGGAAGGAGAACCAATAAGGTCCTAAGCCACAGAGACACATGCTCTAGATCTCTCAGGGGAGCCCTGTCTTCTTTCTAGTCTAAGCCTTCCTTAGTAGCAGCTGAAAAACAGCTGAACTACATCATTAAGCCCCATCTCTGAAAGTACGAGCGTCTTTCCAGGAATCAAAATTGAGAAGTGTTCAGGAGCCATCAGTTGGAGGAGGAGTCCAGGGCAGAGGCTTTCTGAATGAGCTGGTTCCTGGGGCTCTAGTGGCTTGGCACATGCCATCAACTATCCTGATCCAGTGCCCCTTCTCCTTCCTTACCCCTAACCTTAAGCTTCAGCGATGTCCAGAACACCATGCGCAGGCTGCATGCCCAAGGCCACTGGGTCAGAGGGCTGACAGCGGGCTCCACCATGGTTCCTGTGGTAACCTGAGCAGCGCTGGGAGTGGGGATCACCCCAGAGTTCCCTGTGGGACACACAGCCATCGTTTTCCTGCTGTGCCTTGGGTCTTCACACCAGTGGGACAAAGAGGCATGTGACACTGACACCGTAGGCTGGTAGAATGGCATGGGAATGCCTTCCCCAGTGGCT